AGTGCATCTCCCTCTCCTGGATAACGCTTCTAACATATGGAAGAGGAGGGAACGCTTCTCAATTCACTCTGTGCATCCTGTATTACCCTGACATCAAAACCAGAAAAAGATAGCGCAAGAAATCAAATCTAGCAACATATAAGAGGATCATATTCTATGACTACATAGACCTAATGCCAGAAATTCAAAGTTGTTTTAACATTTGAAAATCCTCAGGGATTGAGGACCCCTGTCTTAGTAGGTCTCATCCAGAAGACTCTTTTAAGGCCTCATAAGACATATTTAGCACCTATTCTCTCTAAAGCCTGCTACTTAGAGGCTTCATCTATACAACAGGAACCTTGGCTTCCACAACCCCCCTTATCTTAACTCAAGCATTTCTTTTCTTTTTCTTTTTTCTTTTTTTTTTTTTTTTTGAGACAGGGTCTCGCTCTGTTACCCAGGCTGTAGTGCAGTGGTGTGATCTCAGCTCACTGCAACCTCTGCCTCCCAGGTTTAACCGATTCTCCTGCCTCAGCCTCCCGAGTAGCTGGAATTACAGGCATGTATCACCACGCCCAGCTAATTTTTGTATTTTTAGTAGAGATGGGGTTTCACCATGTTGGCCAGGCTGGTCTTGAACTTCTGACCTCAGGTGATCCGCCCACCTTGGCCTCCCAAAGTGCTGGGATTACAGGTGTGAGCCACCGTGCCCCGCCCAACTCAAACATTTCTTTATGCTGACTTCAACACTTCAGGCAAAGCAACCAATTTCCAATCAGTTTGAATTCACCTATGACCTGAAACCCTCTCCCCAAACATTTATACATTTTGAGGCCTAAAATGTATAAAACCAAGCTGTAATCTAACTACCTTGGGCACAAGTTCTCAGGACCTCCAGATGCTGTGTTACGGGCTATGGTCATTCATATTTGGCTCAGAATAAACCTCTTTAAATTTTTTACAGAGTTTGGCTTCTTTCATCAACAATGGGAAAGGAGGTTAGACATACCTCGTTATACCCACCTCTTTTTGGAGTTCAGGCAGAACAGCTGACCAACATGAATGTTAAAATAGAGATCATGGTCAGGTGCAGGGGCTGACACCTCTAGTCCCAGCACTTTGGGAGGCTGAGGCAGGAAGATCACTTAAGCCCAGGAGTTCAAGACCAGCTTGGGCAACATGGTGAAAACCTGACTCTACAAAAAATACAAAAACTAGCCAGGCATGGTGGTGCATGCCTGTAGTCCCAGCTACTCAGAAGGCTGAGATGGGAGGATTGCTTGAGCCCAGGAGGTTGGGGCTGCAGTGAGCTGAGGTCACACCACTGCATTCCAGCCTGGGTGACAGAGCGAGACCCTGTCTCAAGAAAAAAAAAAAAAAAAATCATATGACTGACCAAACGGACTCTCTGTGGCAATAAGATACCAAACTATGCCTAGGTGTGGTGGCTGATGCCTGTAATCCCAACACTTCTGAAGTGGCATTGCTTGTCTGGGGTAATACCCGAGGTTCATTGTCTCATGCCAAGGAAATCAAAGACATGAACACACAAGGAGTGTGTTTAAGAGAGGAAAGTTTAATAGGCAAAAGAGAAAAGCTCTCCCATGCAGCGGGGCGGGGGGTTCCGAACGGATCTCCCCCGTTTGGGGCAAGATGAGGTTGGTTGTAGAGATGAGCTTGAGGAGCCAGTATCTGATTTACATGGGGCACGGAGGGTTGGTTGGACCAGGTGCGCCTTTTACAAAGCATGCGAAGAGGCTAGACATCCCACCCTAATCTTTTATTATACAAATAGTTTTAACCTGGCCAGTGCCATGTTGCTTGTACATGTGGCGACAAAGAAAAGGGAAGAGGAAACCTCCATGTTGAATATACCTGGCATCCAGCCCTTTTCTATTGGCACAGCTGCCGGCATTTACCCACGCAAGCTTCCAGCTTGTTCATCTATGCTTGCAGCTTGATTTTTCAGGCTGCTTTTTTTTAGAAATTATTTGGGGGCTGCTTTTTATTAAAAAGAAAACTTTACCAAGGATTTGCTAACCCTCGCTAACTGCCTAATTCGTTTCTTTTAGCTTCTGTATCACTTTGGGAGGCCGAGGTGAGAGGATCATTTGAGACCAAGAGTTCGACACCAGCCTGGGCCACATGGCAAGACCTTGTCTCTATGTTTTATATTTATATATATAGCTAACAAAGATACCAAATTATAAACAAGACCTAGGCCATGCAAGACATAGGTTAGGATACACCCTACAGACTATAACATTTTGTTAAACGGGTTTTTTTTTGTTTTTTTTTTTTTATTAAACTGGTATAATGTTGCTTACCTTCCAACCTGACACTGGTATAGCATCACATGACAGATATCAAACCCTGAAGGAAATAAAAATATTTTATGTAGGCCGGGTGTGGTGGCTCAAGCCTGTAATCCCAGCACTTTGGGAGGCAGAGGTGGGTGAATCATTTGAGGTCAGGAGTTTGAGACCAGCCTGGCCAACATGGTGAAACACCGTCTCTATTGAAAATACAAAAAATTAGCTGGGCATGGCGATGCGTGCCTGTAATCCCAGCTACTCGGTAGGCTGAGGCAGGAGAATCGCTTGAACTCAGGAGGTGGAGGTTGCAGTGAGCTGAGATTGTGCCACTGCACTACAGCCTAGGTGACAGGGCAAGACTCCGTCTCAAAAACAAACAAACAAACAAAATACAAAAATTAGTCAGGCGTGGTGGCGCGCACCTGTAATCCCAGCTGCTCCAGAGGCTGAGGTGGAGAACTGCTTGAACCCAGGAAGTAGAGGGTGCAGTGAGCTGAGATCGCGCTACTGAACTCCAGTATGGTTGACAGAGCAAGACTCTGTCTCAAAAAAAAAGCCCAAAATATATTTCTTTGACATATTTTGAAATGGCCCTACAAAGCTACAAAGCTGTCTTTTGTAACAGAAATTTGCATCTACAGAGACTCTCCATTAATGCAGCCTGGATTTCCCTTTCTAGGCCTTTCCCATATCCAGGAAAGATTAATTCTGACACTTAACTTTCCAAAAAGAGACATTTACTGTCTATTCTCTTTTCTTTTTTTTTTTTTTTTTTTTTGAGATGGAGTCTCACTCTGTCATCCAGGCTAGAGTGCAGTAGCATGATCTTGGCTCACTGCAACCTTTGTCTCCTCAAGAATTGTCCAAGCAATTCTTGTGCCTCAGCCTCCCAAGTAGCTGGATTACAGGCGCATGCCACCGTGCCTGGCTAATTTTTGTATTTTTAGTAGAGATGGTGTTTCACCATGTTGGCCAGGCTGGTCTTGAACTCCTGACCTCAAGTGATTGGCCTGCCTCAGCCTGACAAAGTGTTGAGATTAGAGGCGTGAGCCTTGGAGCCCAGCCCATCTATTCACCGCGCCTGGCCCATCTATTCTCTGAGGCTGCTACTCACGCTTCAACTGCGTAACAAGGACCTTGAACAACACAACTCCCTTATCTTAGTTCAAGCATTCTTTTCTACTGACTTCAAGTCTTTAGACAAAGCTTAACTCTCTCAAGCAACTGTCAGCTAAAGAATCCCTAAAATTCACCTATGACTTCTAAGACCACCCATTGAGATATCCGCCTTTTTGGGTCTAACCAATGTATACCTTCCATGTATTGATTTATGTCTTTGCCTGTAACTCCTGTCTCCCTAAAATGTAAAAAAACAAACTATAACCCAACTGCCTCGGGATCACTTACTCAAGGCTTTTTGGGTTTGTGTTTTCTCTCTGGGCCAAGGTAACTCATACTGGCTCAGAATAAACTGCTTTAAAATAGTTTACAGAGTTTTATTTATCCGCTAACAGTCTGACAGATGCTGCAAAGACAAGCTTTGAAAATATTATACATAGTATAAGAAGATAGTCGGCCGGCCATAGTGGCTCTCACCTGTAATCTCAGCACTTTGGGAGGCTGAGGCAGGTTGATCAAGAGCTGAGAAGTTCAAGACCAGCCTGGCCAAGATGGTGAAACCCCGTCTCTACTAAAAATCCAAAAATTAGCCGAACGTGGTGGCAGGCGCCTGTAGTTCCAGCTACTCGGGAGACTGAGGCAGGAGACTAGCTTGAACCCGGGCGGCAGAGGATGCAGTGAGCCAAGATCCTGACACTGCACTCCAGCCTGGGAGTGAGTCCAGCCTGAGTGAGACTCATGAGACTGATTCAAAAAAAAAAAGTCATGAAATAAGCTAGTCACTAAAACGTTGACATATACTTAATGAAAGAAGCCAGTCACACTGTATGATTTCATTTATATCAAACGTGCAAAGTGGCAAGGCCATACACACAGAAAGTATACTAGCAATTGTCTAGGACTTGGGGTGGAGTGGACGTGGTGAATGTAGAATGACTGCTACTGGAGGCAGAATTTTTCTTTGGGGTGATGATTCTAAAATGAGATCACAGTAATAAATGCACAATTCTCTCAAAAACAACAAAAAAACTCTTAATGTTACACTTTATTATTTATTTTTAGGTACGTTGTCTTGCTCTGTCTCCCAGGCTGGAGTGCAGTGGCGCGATCTCGGCTCACTGCAGCCTGGAACTCTGGGGCACAAGCGATCCTCCCACCTCAGTCTCCTGAGCAGTTGAGACTACAGGCGAATGCCACTATGCTCGGCTTTGATTTTTTTTTTACGCTTTAAATGGGCAAACTTTACATGGTATGTGAATATACATTTCCCAAGAAAGCTGGGGGTTTTTTGTTTGTTTGTTTGTTTTTTTAGCAGAACCTCCTGAAGTGGCAAGTCACTGAAAAAAATTTTTGTTTTTTAAAAAAGAAGCTTATCCATACTTACTACCCACAAATTTCCACGATTCCCCAAAGCAGAGGCTGCAGAGACCGTGTGTTGGGGCGGAAGGGGCGGAGAGCTAACAGGAAATCCTGACATGCCAAGGAAAGCCTCCATAACTTCCTAATTGAGAGATAACGATCAGAGGCATTGCTGTGACCCCTACCCCCACCACTCCAACCCCCCCACCCCCACCTCCTGCTTACCTCTCTCCAAAGCACTTCAGAAAACTGACGAGAAAAGTCGCCAAGCCCCCCAATACACTCACCATCCGCAACCGGAACGCGGAAGCAATGGCGCCATCTTTGTTATGGGAAATGTGAGGTTCGAAGGAAGTCACCGGAGCCATCCTTACTGAGGGCAGCGAAGGGCAATGGAAGCCCTTCGCGGCCATGTTGACTGAGGCTTTTGTCCTGACAACGAGGCTTGCCACGTGTGGTTATATTGGGCAGTTTTCCTGAAGAGGCTTGTCGATAAATGTGCTTGGTAAACACTAAGGGAACAGAAAAAATATTCAAAAATTTAAATGTTGGCCGGGCGCGGTGGCTCATGCCTGTAGTTCCAGCACTTTGGGAGGCTGAGACTGATCACTTGAGGCCAGGAGTTCGAGACCAGCCTGGGCAACGTAGGGAGACCCTGTCTCTACAAGAAAAAAAATTTTTTAATTAGCCAGGCATGGTGGCACATGCCTGTAGGTCCAGGTAGTTGGGGGGGCTGAGGTGGGAGAATTGCTTGAGCCTGAGAGGTCAAGGCTGCAGTTAGCCATGTTCTTGCCACTGCACTCTAACCTGGGCAACAGAGCTAGACCCTGTCTTTGAAAAAAAAAAAAAAAAATTCGGCTGGGCTCCGTGACTCACGCCTGTAATCCCAGCACTTTGGGAGGCCAAGGCAGGAGGATCACCCGAGGTTGAGCATGGTGGTGCAGCCTGTAATCGCAGCTACTCGGGAGACTGAGGCAGGAGAATCACTTGAACCCAGAAGGCGGAGGTTGTGGTGAGCCGAGATCGTGCCATTGCACTCCAGCCTGGGCAACGAGAGCAAAACTCCGTCTCAAAAAAAAAAAAAAAAAAAAAAATTCAATGTCTTGGAGAGGGTGGGATTGCATGCCCTTGTAATCCCACTGCTTTGGGAGGCCAAGATGAGAGGATTACTTGAGGCAAGGAGTTCAAGACCCACCTAGGCAACACAGTGGAGACCTTGTCTCTACCAAACAGTTTTAATAAATAAATAAATAAACTTAAATGCCTACATTTTAAAAATATGAAAAGTAGAAATTAGAGATGAGGATGAAAATATTTTAATATTCTGATGCATGCAGATAACTACATAACTGCTACAACTGCAGGACCACAAAAAAAAGACTATAAAGACAAAATTACAAAATTAAGATTTAGCTTAAAGATCTAATTGGCTTTTGTTTATAATTCTAGAATCGGGCAACATCTCATTCTATAAAATTGAATGTTCCAATGAGCTGAGCAGACAATGTTGGCTTCGTAGGCAGAAAAGGAGCTAAATAATGCAGAAAGAATAAAAAGCAAATTGATGGTTCCTTTTTTTTTTTTTTTCTGAGACAGTCTTACTCTGTTGTCCAGGCTGGAGTGCCCTGGTGCAATCTCAACTTCCACCTCCCGAGTTAAAGCAATTCTTGTGTGTCAGCCTCCCTAGTACCTGGATCACAGGCGTGCACCACCATGCCCGGCTAATTTTTGTATTTCTAGTAGAGACAGGGTTTTGCCATGTTGGCCAGGCTAGTCTTGAACGCCTGACCTCAAGTGATTTTCCTGCCTGGGTCTCCCAAAGTGCTGTGATTACAGCCATGAGCCACCACACCCGGCCCTGCAAATTGATCATTTCAAAGTTACTTTCCTTGTAGAGTTAAAACAGAGGAGACTTCCTTATTATATTTACTTAGATTGACAGGAATCTCCCGTTTTCTGGAAGATGGGCTTGTTTCAAAGTTCAGTCTGATTATGTGGCACTTAGCACAAGTAACTCAGTTCTGATTTGGCCTGGCCTGCTGGGGCCTACTGCAGGAGGTCAGACCAAATCAATGACCTCCTATAAAATTTAACAAAACTGAAGGCTATTTTCCCCTTTCACCATTTTCTTGAAAGAGTAGTGTATACTCATAGCCTCTTATCGATGCCTACACTGGAATAATAACCCATAAATTAGGAGTCCTGGACTTAAGATGATTATTTTACCTATACACTGTTTTCTTTTCTTTTCTTTGTGTTTTTTTTTTTAGAGGGAGTCTCACTCTGTTACCCAGGTTAGAGTGCAGTGGCACGATCTCAGCTCACTGCAACCTCTGCCTCCCGGCTGCCTCAGCCTCCTGAGCAGCTGGGATTACAGGCATGCGCCACCATGCCCAGCTAATTTTTTTTATTTTTAGTAGAGATGGGTTTTCACCGTGTTGGTCAGGCTGGTTTCGAACTCCAGAGCTCAGGTGATCCGCCCGCCTTGCCCTCCCAAAGTGCTGGGATTACAGGTGTGAACCACCATGCCCAGACTTTCTTCTCCTTAAATACTCCATGCTTACACTCTCTCAATTCTGAGCTTTTCCCCCGTGCAATTTCTTCCCTTATGAACACTCTTCCCTCACGAACGCTCTTCCCTCTTCCTTGATGTTTGTCATCCTTACAATTTCAGCTTTAGCCAATTTTTCCTCCAGGAACCTTCTCTGACTTATCTGAAAGGAGTTAGTTGTCCCTTGCAGGGATGCTCACTTTCCTTTGTTTACCCAGATTACTCTAAATTCCTTTGTCCTTCCTACTTTTCCCACCAAAATGTAAGTATCTCAAAGGCAAAGACCGTGTTTATCTTTTTTTCTGCTTGTATTTCAGAGCCCAGCTCAGTGACTCATATGTAAGTACTCAGAAATCATTGTTATATGCACAAATAAATAAATCTCTTCCCAGGTCTCCCCTGTTCCCCACTCCTCATTCACACCCCACTCAACCTTATATCCTCCAAGAAATCTCAGAAACATGACTTCTTCACAGCTTGTTATCAGTGAAACAAACCTTAAAGGCTTTGCTAGTGTCAACCTTTGCTTGAAAAAAAAGTCTGGGTATAAATTAACTCTTATTTATTCTGTTGTGGCTTTTCCATGATGAGACTTATCTTTCTATGGGCTTCTGTTGCAAATTTCTGAAGTCGATAGTGACTTTCTTTGCCATATAAGTGTAACCACCCGATGGATTCTTCTTGCCCGCTGCCTAGACAGAGCCGATTTATCAAGGCATGGGAATTGCAATAGATAAAGAGTTTAATAAATGCGGAGCCAGCTGCATAGGAAACCAGAGTTTATTATTACTCAAATCAGTCACCCTGAAACTCAGGTATCGAGTTTTTTAAGGATAATTTGGTGGGTAGGGGATCGGAAAGTGGGGAGTGCTGATTGATCAAGTCAGAGATGAAATCATAGGGAGTCGAAACTGTCCTCTTGCACTCAGTCAATTCCTGGGTGGGGGCCACAAGACCAGATGAGCCTGTTTATTGATCTGGGTGATGCCAGCTAATCCATCAAGTGCAAGGTCTGGAAAATATCTCAAGCACTGGTCTTAGTTTATTGTTGTTGCTGTTGTTGTTATGGAGTCTTGCTTTGTCACCCAGGCTGGAGTGCACTGGTGCTATCTTGGCTCACTGCAACCTCCGCCTCAGGGGTTCAAGCGATTCTCCTGCCTTAGTCTCCCAAGTAGCTGGGACTACAGGTGCATGCCACTACATCCGGCTAATTTTTGTATTTTTAGTAGAGATGGGGTTTCACCAAGTTTGCTAGGCTGGTCTTGAACTCCTGACCTCAGATTTCCCCCCGCACCCCCTGCCAGCCAGCTGCATGAACCCTAAACCATGATTTCTAACCTTGAGGCTTATTTACTAGGCCTGCAAAGGCAGTCTAGTCCCCAGGAAAGGGATTTGTTTTGGGGAAGGGTTGTTATCTTCTTTGTTTCAAAGTTAAGCCATAAACTCCCAAAGTTAGCTCAGCCTACACCCAGGAATGAACAAGGACAGCTTGGAGGTTAGAAGCAAGATGGAGTCAGGTCAGATCTCTTTCACCATCATAATTTTCTCAGTTGTAATTTTTGCAAAGGCAGTTTCATAAGCATGCCTCTGACCATACTGTCTTGCCACTTTTAGTTAGTCCATGCATAAGAAATGAAAGCTACTTGAAATAAGCATCACAACAAAATCTTGCCAGCGACAACAAAGTAGTTTATTGCATTCCCAAAGTAAATTATAAATTGTTTTAGAGTCCCTTCTGTTTTGCCATTGATTATATAATGACTGCATAAATTGAGTGATGCCACAATTTTATGAAACTCTTCATATTTTGTTGATTTTCTGCCATCAGCTGAGCCAGCTACATCAGCCAAATTTCTTTCAACAGAAAAAAGTCATTTTAGTTGAAAGACCAAAATAGCTCTTTCAAAGTAGGATGATGTTATTTGCAATTATCTTATCTCTCTTTGCCATTCTGAACCTTGATCTAATTACTTTCTCATCTAGGGACTTGGCTTTAAGAAAGTGGTAAGGAAATGTCACAAAAGTTCAAGGGTTAAATATAATAATTAATGAGCCTCAAGGCTTTCTTTTTTTTTTTTTTGAGTCAGAGTCTGGCTCTGTTGCCGATGTTGGAGTGCAGTGGCACAATCTTGACTTATTGAAACCTCCACCTCCTGTGCTTAAGCCATCCTTCTACTTCAGCCTTCCAAGTAGCTAGGACTACAGGTACACGCCACCACATTCAGCTAACTTTTGTATTTTATGTAGAGATGGGGTTATACCAGGCGCGGTGGCTTATGCCTGTACTCCCAGCACTTTGAGAGGCTGAGGAAGGTAGATCACTTGAGGTCAGGAGTTCGAGACCAGCCTGGCCAACATGGTGAAACCCCGTCTATACTAAAAATACAAAAATTAGCCAAGTGTGTTGGTGCATGCCTGTAATCCCAGCTACTTGGGTGTCATTACACTGAGGCCTGAGAATTGCTTGAATCCGGGAGATGGAGTTTATAGTGAGCCAAGATCGCACCTCTGCACTCCAGCCTGGGCAACAGAGTGAGACTCCATCAAAAAAAAAAAAAAAAGAAGGAAAGCAAGAAAGCAAGGAAGCAAGGAAAGAAGGAAGGAAGGGAGGGAGGGAGGTAGGGAGGAGGGGAGAAGGAAGGGAAATAAATCAATCTAAGTGTCCATCAATGGATAAACTGATAAAGAAAATGTGGTATATGCACACAATGGAATACTATTCAGC